CTGAAATTAGGAGAAATGCATAAATCTTAATTATTTCACAATCACATGTTGTTTTAGACTTTGAAATCACAACCCAAAGCCAGTAACTAATTATTTCCAAAGCTTTAACAATCTTTCTCCAACTCTCTTTCTCTGCCTATTATCCCCCTCCTATTTTGTCAACTCACTCATATTTTGTTTTAATTGTTTCGCCGCTACCCCCCACCAAAAAAAAAACAGCCCGGCCTACAACAAAAGTGATACACGTAGTTACAATGAGATATCTAATGCATCATTTTAAGTGATAATATCAACAATTATACTGTATCTTCAAAGATCTGTCGGAAGTTGGAAATTTGTGAAAGTCTTTATTTTATGATGTTTAAGTTTAAAGCAAATTTATATTCTGCTTTCAATTAAGTGTTACGGATCGAGGTTAGATCGGATGTTTTTTCACTTGGAAAATTCCTTTTCCATAGTATGATGTGACCTGCATAGCTGAGTCAGGTGTTTAGTTCCGTTATACGCTAGATTGCGTAATGACATTAGGCCAAGTGGCAGTGACATTCCTTTTTTTATTGTATGCATGAATTAGTCCGTATGTTAACGTACGTACGTACGTACGCGGCATGGGCGAGTAGTTCTATCTTGGGTGTGGTTAGCTCAGACACCAATTGAGCATCCACATGCACGGACGTGTTCTAGGTCGGGCAAGCTCTGGTTTTGGAGATTCTTCGGGTATGTGAATTTATACTTGTAAATGTATTTTAATCTTAATTGAGACATTAAGAAGTTACTTAGGATTCGGAATAGAGTTTGTATAGTATTTTGCATTTGGTTAATTGGAGTGCATGGATGACTTTTTGCCACAATTTCTATGTCATGTGTAAACGTTTATGAAACGTCTTTCGTTGTAACGAGTTCATAGCTATCAGTGAAATTGCAAATGATATTTGTTGAGATTGAGAATAGACAGTGAAATCACTGTTGTATTTGCTTTGTTAATTATTTCATGTTTAATAATAACAAGTGCAGAAACTTGCTTGTTTTTAGTAGTTGAAGAGAATTATCAACTCAGTTAGTTTTTGTAGTTATGAACGTAGAGGGCAGCACTTTGTATACCAAGATGGCGGCGCCCATGAATCGTAGATACCGACTTATGGTATGAGAGTGTGTTTTTGTAATATAATCATAGATATTGAATCTTGATAGAGTTTTTCCGTAGATAACATGTTACATTGTATACATGTAATACTTAGTGTATTTTCAATGTAGGTTTCTATGGTTACGGGTGTATTGACTTTTCATTTACAGCTGGGAGATATGGGACTACAGCTGGTCCAGGCCTACATGTAGGTGATGACTGCATTTCTGCTCGTAGCAGTGATATGACGGGTAGTGAGTGACTGTGGAGTTTGCAGTCTGGTTGTTGCAGCTTGTTGCTTGACATTTGTTTGACCTTGGGTAGGCAACTTTTGATGTTTATCATGCAATGTTTAATCAGTGAGCTATTTGATCAATGTTTTACCATGTTTTGTAAATGCTTTCAAATAATATTATAAAGGATGATTTATCGAGGAAATGAATTTATTCTTTATCAGAGGGTTTGATAAGATACTGCACTTTATGGAGTTAGGTGTAATTCTATTCATGTCTTATATCTGGTTGATGACTAAGATGCTTTGATGATTAAGATGCTTTGAATATTTAGATAAATATTATTTGATTATGAGGAATCTCTAACTAAAGTACGAGACACACATATATTGTTTGTAACAATATATGATTATTCGATGACTATAGAAGTTTGTTTGGTTTTTATACAATACATGCATATTGAATATGTATGTCAACGATGATATTGAATTATTTGAATCTGTAATGTGATACAAGTGATTTATCACCGATTTTATCTGTATCTTTACAGGGTTTTTTGTTACGACACAGAATAAACCTCATAGACCTTAATCTGCTGTCCTGTCTCATCATTGATACTACCGGTCCCTAGCAAGGTCCAACCCCCACCCACGACAGATTTGGCGACGAGGATGGGATAGCGACAGTAGAACGACAGAAACCCCTTGGTCTGGAGGTACTTCGGACTGATGAGATGCGATTCACACCAAAGGACGGGATCAGCGTGGAGATATGACGTCGAGCAAGATTTAGACCGATGAAGATGAAGAGAGGTCTGAACTCTGAACTTTGAAGTCTGAACACTATTGAAGCTCGAGGATACAGGACTTTGGGTATATTTAGCTAAGGCTAAGAGTTTTGCATGTGCATGTAATATTGTGTTCTGATGTTATAGCATATTTCCATGTGCATATACTGACCTCTTTTGTCCCTTGTGAATGAAATTTAGCCTTTGTAACGATGCCGACCGATACAGAGTCGATGGCGGGTATGATGCAGGCACTTACAAGTGTATTACAGGGCCTAAGTGTACAGCAGCCACCACCACCAGTGAAACTTGGAAAGTTTCGAGGCCCTCCAACAGCACCTGGCGAGTTATCTCTAGGGGAATGGTTAGCAGAGTTTGGTAGCTATGCAGAACATTATCGGCTTACTGGAAGAACGAAGGCTCGTTCATTAGTTGACCATTTAGCTGGAGCGGCGAAAGAGGAAGCTCTATGTCATGGGACAGAGGTCAGAGATGACTACGACAAGCTTGTCAAGAAGCTGGAGTCGATGTTTGGCTCAACCGAGTCGGTGTCTTCTCTCACGCAGAGTTTCCACAATCGTGATCAGATGGAGAAGGAGACTCTAGCTGATTACAGTAGGGTTCTAATGAGACTGTACAGTAGGATGGTGAATGCGGCTGGAAACTCGGACGAGAAAGCAGCACTCCAGAAATTGCAAGATAGCACCTTGAAGGAGAAACTTGTCCAAGGGGCAAGGGAGAAGTGGGCTAAAAGGGAACTCAGGAGGATAGAGATTAGCTGTAGGCAAAAGACATTCTCGGAGATGCGAGAAGAAATGTTAGATTTCTTTCGCGACCAGGAGCCCTCCTCAAAAGCTGCACGAGCTTTTGAGGCCATCGCAGAAGCTGCGCCAGTCCCGGTGATGCAAGCTAGCAAGAAGGGGGAAATAGAGGTGCTGAAGGAGGATATTTCCAAGCTAGCACACCAAGTGTCTAATTTGGTAGGGATCGTCAGCAAGTTGACCGACAAGAATAATTTGCAGGTGCGAAGTAGTAACAGGGGCAATAGGGATCTCAAGTGCTTCAATTGTGGACAGAAGGGCCACACTAAACCCTACTGCAAGGAACCAACCCTATGCTACGGTTGTAGGAAGACTGGCCACATGAAAAGAGACTGTCCAGAGAGTGCACAAGCTGCAAACCCAAACCCAGGAGTTAACATAGGCAAGGTAGATTCCATGGCCACTGATGAAGGTTTGGCTGCCCGCTTGATTTCTCCAAGTCCTAGGAGCAGTGTTAACATTTGCGGTGAAGAGTTGGAATGCATCTTGGACTCTGGTGCTGAGACCTCGATAATTCCGTCTTCGGTTTACCATGGTCAGCTTGAGGAGAAGTTAGGGAATCCCAAACAGATGCCAGGGTTTTTCTTGAATGTAACAGGTATTGGAGGGGTCCAACTACCTATTGAAGGGTATGTGGAAGTGCCAATTGAATTGGAAGGACAGACGGTACTCGGTAGCTTCCTGGTCGCCAAGAATAGAGGTAATGGTACAAGTGCTCAACATTCTGTACTTGTGGGGTGTAATATCCTGCATCGGATGAACACGGACAAGTTAATCGAAAAGTACCCTTCTCTGAGTGCACTGAGGATTCCACAGATTGCTAGGAAACGTGACAAGAGCGAAGTAGTTGCAGTTCATACTGGTCGGGCTGAAGTGCTGCCACCTTTTACAGTGAGTAGAGTCACTTGTGAGTTGAGGAAGGAGGCATTGGATATAGAGGTACTGGTCCAAGACTCCATAGGGAGAAGTAATCCAACTCTGAGTGCTGTGGAAGGATGCCAGCAAGTCAATGGGAGATTTATCGATTTGTTGCTAGCTAATCGATCAAATGAAGAAGTATGGCTGCCACGTATGACTCAAGTAGCTGAAGCAAGAGCCATCCAGAGAAAGCAGGAAATTCAGCTAGGTATGGAAGAGGATAGAGTACTTGTCTCTTTGTGCGATGTAGTCACAGTGGATGAGCCATATGACGAGGATGACAAAGACAGAGTAGATCCACAAGTTGATAACCACGAACTTCCTCTTGGTGTTCAGTTAGATGGATTGTCACTAGATGAGAAGCAGAAAGTATCTGAACTCCTGACGAAGCACTCTGGAGTATTTTCTGCAGGACCTTTTGACCTGGGAGAGTGTAGCATAGTTCCACATGAGATACATCTAACAGATGGCCCACCAATTAGACTTCCCTATAGGAGACTCCATCCTGATCAGGCGAGTGAGATCAAGAAGATGCTACAAGAGATGTTGGACAAAGGAATTATTCAACAGTCAAAGAGTCCATACGCAAGTGCTATTGTGGTTGTGAGGAAGAAAGACGGATCTCCGCGGCTTTGCATAGACTATAGACTATTAAATGCAAGGACGATTAAGGACTCTTTCCCTTTGCCAAGAATAGAGGAGACATTGGAAGCCTTGAGTGGTGCGCAGTATTTCACTTCGCTTGATCTTGCTCATGGGTATTTCCAAATAGTTATGGACCGGGAGTCTGTTGAGAAGACAGCATTTAGAGTACCGTGGGGTTTATATGAATTCCTACGTATGCCACAGGGATTGTGCAACAGCCCCGGTACCTTTCAGAGGACCATGGAATTCATTCTAGGAGATATGAATTTGACTGAAGTCGTCCTTTATCTAGATGATATCCTAATCTTTTCTTCGACTCTAGATGAGCACCTGAAGAGACTAGATAAAGTGATGACGAGACTCCAGGATAACGGACTGAGACTGAAGGGAAAGAAATGTTTCTTTCTGAAGGAGAAAGTATCTTACCTTGGACACGTGGTATCGAGAGAAGGTATAGCTGTCGATGAGGAGAA